CTTATCTTCATTTTGCTTGGACAGCTGAAATATGTTTCCATGGCCTCTGTATGGTCTTTCCCTGGATCTTACTGATGGTGCTGTGGGGGTCATTGATTACTGAATCCAAGAGAGACAACTGCAGCCACAAAATGTAATGGTGCTTTAAAGTGTGAAACTATAGGCTGCAGCTCAGAGATGTCATTGTCCCATTCATTTGAGCAATCTTGTCTGCTTTGCATTGCCTTGCAAAATTCTTGCTATTTTCCTGGAAGCCTAGTCTGTAAAAGCATTTTGCTTTTTACCTCAGAATATGCCCCTTGCTTCTGGGAGAGCAACACTGCATTGAAGGGAGGGGAACCAGCAGGATGGAAGCAAAAACCTGCTGGCACTGTGGCTCCTTCTGATCCTTATTATGCAGAGTGAAATATAACATATCTGGCTATTTGATTTGCTAATTTCAGTGGTGGAGCACAGCTGGTAGGCAGGTGGACTGTTAAGAGACAAGACAAAGATCTAAGATGTGCAATCTTATGAACTTGCAAGCAAAAAAGAAAAAACAACCACAAACCCTAAGATGTTTTGTGCTATTTGAACACCAAACACTGTTGGAGGGAAGGGGAGAAGTTTGGACTTGGAGCTTTCTTGGGTTTGGATCTCTCTAACACAATGCACTGGTGTGCATGTTTCTTGCATAAATAGAGGGTGATTTTGTGTGTGGAGTTCACCCCAAACGTATGAATTGAGAGTCTCCGAAGCAACATCTGGAGAAGACCCAAGAGAGAAAACTGTGAGTTCTCTGAACACAAAGATCTGTTCATTCATGAGATTCTCATATTCAGACAGAAAACTGCAGTTGTGCTGTTTCTATTTAATGTTATTTCTAGCAAGTGCCACATTTAACTTTCCCTTTTGCCTTTTCTCCCAAAACCATTCTACAGCACCATAAAGACTTACTGGTACTTATAGATGGACTTTTGGAGAGGTTTTTACCCTGGTCCTGTCATCATTCAGGCTGGAATAGCTGCTCTCAGTGCTTCCAGCAGTCAGAATTCCAATCTCAGCTGTTAAAACATGCAGATGGAGCAGTAGTATGAATTGAAGAGAGCAGAGAGGAGTTTCTTGAGGATAACCAGTGTTTGTGTTTGTGAGGTCGCTTTTGCCTTGGTTTCAGGATGGGTGATAAAAGTTCTTCTGATTTCTTCCTGCATTTAGAGGCTAATTGCTGCCCTGCCCCGTTTAACCTGTTTATTATGAGGTGATTGTACAGGAATTTCTGTCCTGGTTTCCTTGTGGTGACATCTCAGGTCGGAGCAGGTTGTTTGGGCAGAGGCTTGGCTGGGGGTGTGTGCTCTGAGACTGTTTGTGCTGGGAACTTTACACTGCTGAACCCTCAGGGTGCTGTAAATTATACAGGATTTCAGTGTGAGCAGGGAAATGCTGATATTGCCGTTTGGCAGAGCGTGGAAATGCGGCCACAAGAGCTGGATCTCAGAGGGAAGGTGTGAATGAAAAAAATAGCACCATTTTTTCTCCTTTTCCTCACAGACTACAGATAGGCTGATGCTGTGTGTGCATATGCAGTGCCCAAGGTCTGCTGTGTGTCAGGCATGGAGTGCCAGATTGTCTTTCTTCCCACCAGAACATTGATGCTTTAATTTGGGACACGTGGTGGGAGCTGATAGCATCTTGTTTCAGAGAGAGACTTTCTGATAATCTCGCTGGTGGTATCATGTCTCTGTGTGAGACACAAACCCAGCATTATCCCAGTGCTCATCAGAGCTGCTCCTGAGGCAGGAGCTGTGCAAGGAGCCCTTGGCACCGGGCTGGGAGCTGCCAGCCCTTCTGTGATGCAATTGAACTGAAGAGTTTGTGTTGTAGTTTAAGGCAAACTCCTCCTCATCACCTTCCCTCTTAACATTTCTTGCTGCACCCTGGAGTCCTTTGGTCGCATTCCAGAGTTCATGTGTGAATGAACTGGTGCCTTTTAATGGGTGTGGAAGAGGTTGATGAACTGATTCCTCTTTCAAATGGGATTTGTATCATCTGTGTGCCATTCCTTCTGTGTTAGTTTCCAAAATCTGGTTAATCTTGTCAGCTGTATCTTGATGTTATGTGAGGAGGAGCCTTCCAAAGTGTCCATGAAATACTGGACAGGTTATTGAGTATTTTTAATTTCCTGCATTTTGGCTGTGTTGAGTAGAGATTCTCCTACAGCTGAGTGCAGACAGAGCTGTTTCACTAGAAATCCAGAATTACAACCGGCTGTGTTTTGGTTCTAGAAGAGCTCTGCAGGCTTTCAGTTCGTCGCAGCACAATGCAGCTCTTCAGGCAAATCCCACCCAAACCTTCTCTGCAGCCAGTGAACTCCTTTGTACAGCTGAGAGAGCTCTGCAGCAGCAAATCTGGGTCACACACCCTACAAAGGACACACAACTCCAGATGACAAGTGCTCGTGTGCTCTCTGTTGCTGAAGAAGAGACTAAAATTAGCTTCTGACTCTTACTCGAATTAAAAATTACCCAAGGGGAAAAGAACTATTTCTCAAGAAGGCAACTGTTATGTCTTAAACCCACACAGTCTCAGCTGTGTATGCAGAAATGCAAAAATAAAAAGGTAGTAACCAAGTTTTCTGGGAGAAAGGGGATTTTGTTTTTCCTGGAATATCTCAAAAAGGGAATATGACCAAGGTTATCAGGGACCACAGATGAACATTCTGGTGCCAACCTCTGTACAATGCTGCAGCAGCATCTTTTCACTCTGATATCTTCAAAATATCACTTTTTTTACCCATGGAGTGATGCCATATCCACATTTTGTCAAAATAAACCTTAATTCCATGGGGTTTACAGGACCAGCGAGTGAATTGGATGCCAGCACAACTTTGTGCAGCATCAGCATTTCCCAAGATCATATATAAAAGTGATTATAGCAGACCAGAGAGGCTGAACATTGCTAAGTTGCTGCCGGATGCCAAATACTGTCAAGAACACACAAATTTCTCAATATAGTTTAAGATTAAGGAAACAAATGATGTGCCCAGCTTAGGGAATACTCTCTATTTAAGGCACAATCTCTTATTTTGGAGCATTTGGCTTGTAAATCCTTTGCAGCTCTGGGGATCACCTTCTCTAGCAGATCAGATGTAGTGATGTTTTTTATTTTTATCTCTGAATGTTAAGGGGTTTTTTCTAATGTTGAATAAAATGTTTTCTTAACTGATAGGGATTATATGGAGGTGAAGGCAGATCACATTCTGTAGCAATAAAACCTTATGTAGGCTGTAAGAGCACAAAGCAACCAACAGAAGTGATTCTTACAAGTAGCTTTGCACAAAGATAAATTCCTGTATCCTAGAAAACATTAAACAGCTCTGCCTGCACTGTAAATGCAGTAAATTAAAAATGCTCAGTAAACTGTCCAGTATTTATTGGACATTATGGAAGCTGTGCATCTCTCAAGCATAAAGAATTTTCATTGACCAAAGTGAATTTTACCATGAGGTGGTGATGGCTGAAAAGGATCCAGCTGGGAGATTTTCAGCCTCAATTCCCTCCCCAATGAGACACTGCAGTGCTGCTTCTCAGAATGAGAAGTGAGGTCTGTAACAAATATTTTCCTTTTCTGTGGTGTCCTCTCCCTTCTGTTCAGCTCTCCCTTCTGGGGTTTTGCATAGCTGTCTGGTTTGTCTCAAACTTCTGTAATTGCTGTCCTTGGTGGAGCTGCTTTAACCATGATTTTGGGGTAGACAAGTCACTGAAATTTGAATTACCCAGGCACAGTTTTTCTCCAAACAATGTCTCATAATTATGGCCTGTGGGCATCTGTATCCTCAGTCACAGTGATGGAAATATTAATAGGAAAAAACCACTGTTGGTAAACAAAGAGAGAAGTGTGAAGTCCTTGGAGCCTGGTTTGTCCAAACAAAATCTGCTCTGTCCTGGGGTACAGACTGGGGTTAGATGGAGACAGAAGGAGAGTTGGAGAAGATGTGGTTTTGTTTCTGCTTTGAAATGTTTAAAAGTGGGTTTGCTTACCCTGTTTGCCTTCCAGCATTGAATGCCAGGGATCTGTAGGAAAACCCAGAGTAATTTAGAGAAGGTCATGCCTGGCTCAAAGGTCCCCTTTTTAGATCTTTCTACTGACAGGCTTTTATGTTCAACTTGACATCATTGCTGAGTGTGGGTAGCAGATAGGATTTGAATACTGCAAGTGAGGAGTGTGAAAAATTCCAGGGATGTTCCAGGCACTGCTAGACAGAACTATATTGATTTAGGAGGAAATCCCAAGGAGGAAATAGTTCTTGTCAACTGATTACTACAAGTTATGGTTGTGCTACTTCTGCAGACACCTATAAATTAAACTGCCAGCAGTTGGCATCTGCCACTGTCACAGTGCTATAGGTCATCCTTCCCTGGGAATTGAGTGATGCCAGAGTGACTTAACCTGCCACAAAAATAGTCAGGGAAGGTCTGGGAGGAAGGCAGAGCTTGGGAGGTGTGTACAGAGCCCAGCATGGAGAGGGACATAGCATGGGACAGATGTCATGATATCATGCCCTGTACTGTTATGTGCTAAATGTTTTCATGTTCTGGTGGGTCTTTTCATGCTGAAATTCCTTGAATTCTGTTTCCAGGTTGGTATTTTTCCTCCCTCAATTCATGTGGAGGTATTATCTGCTGAAACAGGGAGGAGGTCATGCTGGTTTGGGGGGATATTTTCCGAGCTCATAACTTGCCAGCAGTGCAGCATCTGAAGAGTTTAAATTGGAATTAGCTGACATTTTCCTACTCTCTCAGGAATTCAGGAGTCTTTGAAGAACAGCCCATCTATGTGGGCTGGAGGGATAATTGATTCTGTCTGGAAACCTCTATGCTGATCCCTAAAACCAGGATGGAAGGATTGACATTGTTTACTGTCAGCAGGGATTTGTTTTTTTCTGTCTGTTGCTGAATAGTTTCAGCTCAGAGTAACTGAAGATGGATTGAGGTATAGACCTAATCAGGAAGATGTGAAAAGATTTATTTTTCTTTACTTTACAGAAAAGGCCACAGATGGCTCTTTGCAGAGTGAAGACTGGACACTTAACATGGAGATCTGTGACATTATCAACGAGACAGAAGAAGGGTATGTGCCATTTCAGCAGACTTGGAAAGGTCCCTGAACACAATCTTCCTCTGGTTGTACTCAGCATGTGAGGAGGTGCAGTGAGGCTGGGGACAGATACTCATGGTTTCAATGCAGTTTGCTTGGTTTTCCTGCTCCTTAGACCTCTCCTGCTCTCAGAAAATACTGTATGATGGAGGATACCTGTAGGATTCAGGATGAGAGGAAATGGCCTCAAGTTGTGCCAGGAGAACAACTTATTTAGATGATGTAATAAAAAAAAATTCTTCACTGAAAGGGTGGTCAGGCTGCCCAGGGAAGGGGTGGAACCACCATTCCTGGAAGTATTCAAAAAACACGTGGATGTGGCATTTTGGGATGTAGGACAGTGGTGGGCTTAGTGCTGAGTTGATGGTTGGACTCAATGATCTAAGAGAGCCTTTCCAACCCAAATGATTCCGTGATATTTTCTATGGTCAGTCTCTGCTTGGGAGGGCTGGCATGAAAAACATTTTGGAGAGGGTGCCACTTTTGTTTTTCAGTAGGTGTATCTCTTTACAATGCCTTTAATTTCAGGTATTTGTGTAGACAGCTTTTCTGACACACCTCCAGCACCAGAAAGCTTTGCTGCTTGCAGTCTGCAGGAGAACTGATCACTGCTCTTGTTCCCTGGGCTTGTCAGACTGGCTGTCAGTCTTCCCTGCCAAATCAACAGCCTGAATTTTTGGAGACTTGGGGCATTCCTCCAGTCTTGGTTTCTGTGGCACCTTGTCTCCTCACATATTTCTCCGTAACCCTGCTTTGGTTGTAGTCAGATGATCTGAAATTAACCCACATTCTTATGTCCAGCTGGAAATGGCAAAGGATTCATTTTCCCACCGTTTATGGGATGTGAAAAGGCTGTCTGAGCTGTCTGTTAAAATGGTGTGTTTCTCCTTCAGGCCCAAGGATGCCATTCGGGCGCTGAAGAAGAGGCTGAATGGAAACAAAAATTACAGAGAGGTCATGCTGGCGCTGACGGTGAGTGGGGGCAGGCTGGAATGCTTCAAAGGGCAGAACCCTTTTGTCATTTTCCTCTTCCTGGCACTCTCTTGAATGTACACACTATTTCCTTTAACAGCCACTGCTCTGCCCTTTTCTTCTCTCCAATTGCCTCCTCACTTCCTTGGGGAGAGCTGCTGGAAGCTTTGCATAGTGGTTTTCCAACTCAATTGATTTCTGCTTCTTTTCGTGGCTCTTATTCATCCCAAGTACTGACTGAGGAGAGTTAAAGTGGCTCAAATGGGTCTGTTACTCTTTGAGGTTTTCCTTTCTACTCTCATTTCCCTGTGTCCAACCATTCCTCCACTCCAAGGCAGCAGCTGTGGACGTATCTGCAAGTAAGGATGATGAACTTGCCATATTTTCAGCTTCATAAGTAGCTGATGCACAATTTCCCTTGTGAATGAATCTCTGTAGGAGACAATGCATTAATTTATGCTGATCTAATTTCACTCAATAAAGTGTAAATTATATTCTGTGCATTCAGACAGCACTGCTAAGGTGTGGGATAATTTAGCAGTGACCTTTCCTGCTGATGGCTTTGGCTGGAGCTTTCCTGGGTAGTGCAGCCCTCCTGAGTGGGGTGCTGGGCTGGCTCTGGCAGTAGCTAGATCCAGTTATCCTGCTGTGGGGAGGTGAGCTGCATGATTCTTTCACAGAGCTCTTGTTGCATCTCCCTGACGAGGCGTGACCGTACTTTCTGTCTTCTTGCCATTTCCTATCCTGGATTGTCATTTTGACAGATTACCCAAGTCCAAACCATGAGATTATCCATTGTGCAGGAAAGAGCAAAATCCATCAGGAATGAGCCCGTGTCATCATGGCTGATGAAAGTGGCTGAAGGAGGAGAGTAATTACAGATTCCTGGGTACAGAGCCGCAGTGGTTATTAGGCATGGCTGTAAGGAGAAGTGACGCGTTGGATTTATCTCCATGCTAATCATGTTCTTCAGAGAGAAATCAACAGCTGTTCTTCCATGGCAGTTGAATGGCAAGTGGAAGGTGCCTCCAGCTAGGTTGCAGGGGGAAAATGTGTCAAAGTATAACCTGTCAGAGCATTCACAGGGGAGTGTTTTGAATGAGTGAAGATCATTCACCTGAATTCCCAGCTCTAAAACATGGCTTATAGCTCGGAGCAACTGGGTCCAGCTGTGTTCCAGGCACATGGAAAATGGTGGAGTGGCACAGCACGATAATATCTCACTGTGACAGGATGTCCTCTGTCTTACCTGCTCCTGATGTGCTGCTGTGTACTTGGCTGTTCAGCTGCACTGGCTGGAAAGTTCTGCTTTGAAGACAAAGAAACTGTCTATTTCTTTACCTTGAAAACAGGAAAGATGGATCACAAAAATGCCCAATATGTTAACAGTGGGTGAGGTATAGCTGAATGTGTGTGTAGAGAAGTTTTTTTTCAAAACTGGGGAAGAAGAGTAGTAAGAGTATAAATGTAATCTTCCCTCTATCTGCTTGCCCTCCCATCAAAAAATATAAAATAAATTAAAATATCAGGTGCTGTGTGTGTGCTCAAGCTTTGCTCCAACAATGAATGTTGGGTTTCTTTGTGTGCATAGGTGTTGGAGACGTGTGTGAAGAACTGTGGCCATCGCTTCCATGTCTTGGTGGCAAACCGTGACTTCATCGATGGAGTTCTGGTGAAAATCATCTCACCCAAGAACAACCCCCCCACTATAGTACAGGATAAAGTCCTAGCACTGATTCAGGTACACAGCTTGTCTCTGCTTCCATATGTTGCTGCCTGAAATAAGGACTGTCTGCTTCGATGCCACGCATCACTAAACATGCTGTCACATCGTTAAAAATGTGGCAGGTTTTTTATATATAAACTCAAACAATGTATCCAGATTGGTGGGGAAAAGCAGGACATGTACACACATAGATATTTTATCCAGGGAGGGTTGTCTGAATTCTAGTTAGAGAGGTACCATGCTAAAACAAAAGGATTTAATAAAAGGTAAATAGATGCTTTTACAATTTAACAGTCATATCTAGAAGCTGGAGACTTGCCTCAGTGATGAGCTTGTCATCTGAGGCCAGGAGATTTCAGAGGATTGTGCTTTTGGTGGCAGCTGCAGAACACTTGCCTTTCTGTGTCTGTTTCCCTGACTGGAAAATGGAGCTGTTTCCCTCCATTTGAAAGCATTCTGCATTCCTTTCAAAGATGGTTATAGAAAAGTAAATGACCATATAGGAATTAAAATGGTTTTGGTGTCTTTTCTGTGGTTATTGTGCAGTAAAAGCACACTGTCAGATCCTTGCCTGCAGTGGGAAGTTCAGCCATGGGCCTGTCTGCCACTTCTCCTTCTGTGCAGCACAACAATAAACAGCCGTGTTAATTCCACAAACCATTAGCCACACATGAGGAGACATTGGTGCCTGCCTGGAGGAAATCTGACAATTATAGGAAGCTTTATCACTAAGCTTCCACAGGCTACTGCATACACCAGAGACTAAAAGACACTGCGTATTTAAAATGATATAAACCTGCTGCAGTGTTCCTTGTGGGGAGGTATTTACAAATGCACAGCATCATTTGCCAGATATACTTCTGATTTTTATGGCAAAGCATGCACTTGGATTTCTGCTGCTTTATTTCTTATTTGAATACAGGGATAGGGCATCCTTAGAGCATGACAATGTAAATAAGTGATTTTCAAACAGGAAATAGGTAGGGTGGTGGAATTAATGGGCATCAAGTTGGGGTCTGTGGGGTCCCTTTATTTCTGGTATATGATTTTGTGGCTTTTCAAAAAAATAGCACAAAATTAATGAAATTATTAAAAACAATTCTTGTGCATCTGACTGAGCCCTCAGGTTTCTGCCTCCCCTGGTGGGAGAGTGGATGCATGCAGTGACCAGGAGATGAGGTTAAAAACTGCCTCATAAAGACAAACTGGGTGTGTTTCCATGTTATTTTAGGGAATGTTGGTTTTGCTGGGCTCTGGGTTTAAATGGATTCCCAGTGGTGAATGCAGCTAAGATGGGAGTGTTTGTAACATAATCAGAAAGCCACAGTCATTGCCTCAGTGTATTAAACAGAGCTTTATCTGAGGAGACTTAGTGCAGTAGAGCTAAAAGCTTCACTCTGGGTACTAAATGCCTTTTGATATAAAAAGCCTGAGAATGATGAAGGTTGCCTGTGGGTGGGTTCTGTACGTGTCTCTTGAGCTGGAGGTGGCAGGGGACTTTGTTTTCCAGATTGCCTGACAAGTTTGGAAGAGTGATGGCAGCCACTCATCCCAGGTGCCCTATGGACACAGCCCCCCAAAATACCCCATGACAGCTTCACTCAGCTCAGGCTGTGCTCTGGAGAGCTCCCTAACAGAGTTAACCCTGTCCCAGAGCGCTGATCTCAGCTTTGCCCCACCTACATTGTATTTATCCCTTTCTATAGCCAGTGTTTTTTATTGGGGAATTAATAAGAACGGAAATGAGAGGATTAATAGCCCAGACTGGGAAGCATAGAAGAGAACTGTACAAACAGCACACATCTTCAGGCACACAGCTGGCAAATTCATGGGCCTTTCCATAAAAAGGGGAGATAAAGCTGCCATCCAGTTTCTTATCTAGAGACTTGTTTTGAGATGTTGAGCATCTTGCGTCTCACTTTCTCAACCTATTTCCCAGTGTACATGAATTAGCATATGTTACACAGTGCTTATCCTTCCTTCCTCACCCTGCTAGGAGGCCTTGGAAATATTCCTTGTGTGCCCCTGTTAAGAGCTGGCCTGTCACCCAGTGTCCAAACACTGGCATGGTCCCCTATTTAGGGGGCTGATTTACAATGGTGTTTAAATGACCTGTTTGGGCACACTGAGGTTCCAAGTGGGATTTATCCTGAAGTATCTACATTTGATAGTCTGGCCCAAAGTCTTAGAAGCTCTGAATTCCATCTCCCCTCTGTCCTACACGTGTTTGGACAATGGGCAGGTCTCCTAAGCTCTAGTGTAGCTCCTTATCCATAAAGCAGAGCTGATATTGCAGCTGCCTGGTTGGGTTGTAAGCTGTCTAGGACAGGGATTGTCTTACAATGTGTGTAGACAGCACTTAGGACAATGGTGCCTGTCCTGCTTGTGACCTCTGAGACACACTAATGTAGATAATGCTCCCAGCTCAGGTGAAGAAGAATACAAATGGAAGTGTCTCCTTTCTCCAGGGAAGAGAATTGCAGGAGAGAGAATATTGTTAAAAGGTGGAGTGCAGATGAAATGAGATCGTTTTGCAAAATCCACAGGAAGCCAGTGAAAGAGGGGAGGCATTAGTACTTCCTCCTGGACAAACAAGCTTCACTGAAAACTGGGGGCAAGAATGCAGCATATTTTTGCCTCTAAGTTTCTTTTGAGTGATGATTATTAAATAGAACATCCCTTGCCTAACACTTTTCACTTTTGCTTGCAAATAGAGTTGAAGTGCTGAACACCATTATGTAGAAGCATCATTCAGGTGGCTTCTGATGTAAATTGAAAAGGCAGTGAAATGGCAAAGGTGGAGTTACTTGTGCAGTCAAAACCTCCATCAGAATTGGGGATGTTTTGGAAGGTCAGTTCCAAGGAAACAATGGCTGTGTGCTGTCAGAGCTGTTTTCTCTGGCTCAAGCAGGGCTGTTTGGACTTGCACTGCATCAGAGCAGTTGATGCAGTTAATTTACTCTTAACAAAGCTGAGAAGCAAACCCAGGATTGTCTGCTTGCACCTGATAATGGATTGTCTCCTGGGCACAGATGGTAGGAAATGCTCTCTTAGAATTGAACAGGATAGGAATGCAAGTTAAAAATTTATATTATTTTTTATCTTACTTTTCTATCTTGGATTTCTGTTCTCTCCAATATAAGAAATGGCTCAAAGAGCTTTCAAAGTAAAAATAGTCAAAGAACAAGTGTAAAAGTGATGACTAAATGAATTAAGTTCTGAGCCCACGTGTGTCTCGCAGTAGTTCTGGATCCAGCACACTGATACCCTGCTCTGCACATGTGGGGGTTTGTGGAATGCTTCATTTTTTAATTGAGTCATAATATTTCAGTTTTTCCTTCCTCTACCTTTTTAATATTTGGTTCATTTCCAACACAAGTGAAAGGGGTTGAGGCTTTTAGCATCCTGTGCTCCCAGCAGCTTCGTGAGTGCAGGAGGCTGGCTAGCCAAGAGGAGCACTTAGTACTCCCACTGAAGGAAAAGCTCAAATGTGAATTGAAGTCTTTTTACACACCAGAGAATTCATGCAGGAGAGATATTATGAATGTTCTGGCTGTGGGAATTTCTCTCTTTTAAACTCATCCTTTGTGCCACACTGGGGTGCCTGGAGTGTTGGATATGCTCTGTCAGAGCCCAGGCGTCCTTAGTTCTGCTGCTCAGGGGACTGTCTCTTTCCCAGGACAAGAACCTCAGAAAGGACCTTTTTTTAAATTTAAGTCTGGTCCAAATAAAACACTGAAGATAACTTGATGGCTGTGTTTTTTCCTTTGGCAACAAATGAGGATGTTTCACAAAGTGAATGGAGATTACTTAAGATGATTGTAGAGCTTTGTGAATTTTGGTTAGATCTGTTGAATTTTTCACACAGACCTTTTCTGGTACAATATGCCAGAAAAGATCAGCATCAATCACTGCTGAGGAGAGGAGATGGGAAGAGACTTCCATGCATGTTCACAGATTTTGATGATGTCAGGAGCTACTCACAGCTACTCCTCACTGGGTTCCTGTCTGGTTTATATCTGAATAAAATGTATGGGTGACTGTCTTAATATTTGCAGGATCTTTTAGACCAGGTCTGATGATTCCAGTTTTCCTTTGAAGCTGAAATCTTTTCCAGTCAGTATCTGAGGTCAGGGTGGGGCTGGAGCTTCATTTGGAAGGTTTATGGATAATCCCTCGTGTTTTCCAGGCTTGGGCTGATGCCTTCCGAAGCAGCCCCGATTTAACTGGGGTAGTGCATATTTATGAAGAACTCAAGAGGAAAGGCATCGAGTTCCCCATGGCAGATCTGGATGCTCTGTCTCCAATACACACACCACAGAGGGTAAGCTGCACCCTTGCAATTCCAAGGGTGTTTTCCCAGGATGTCTAAGTAGTTGGATAACTACTCATTTTTGCCCTCCCATTTCTGTGTTTTGGCTCATTTTCTCACTTCTGGAAGGACATTTTAATAATGAAAGGGCATGTAAGAGGGGCATAATACAGACTGATAAGCTATCTCCTCCCTTGAGTCAATCATCAATCTGAGAAGTTGTAAAATGTTAAATTTAATCTTGTACCATAAACCCACCAAACAAATGCAACTAATTTGTTCAAAGAGAGCTCAGCAAGATTTGTGATTTGAGATTTACTTCTTTTGCTCAAAAGTGTGGCTGCTTCTGTTAGTGATAACCCTGAGCCAAGGTCTGCCTGTCTGTTAGGGGTGTACAGAGTCTGAATCTCTCTGATCCCACAGTAATGTGAGAACTTTACACCTCTGGAAAGTTAGGTCTGGAAAGTCGACAGAACTGCTGCTTGGAAGTAACTTAATGATCACAGGTGTTCTGATTATTCACTCTGAAAACAGAAGTTAATGAATCTTTGAAGCAGCAAATGCAAGTGATCAAGGACTGAGAGATTACAATTCTTGTGTCAAGGTTAATTAAATTCAGTATCTACGTATCACATCATTTTTTGGAAGCCTGCAACTTAATTCCTAGTTTAAAAGAATTTATAATTATTTCTCTTTGGCTCTTGTTTTTTATTTTGCTTCGTACTTTTCTTGTAAAACTAAATGGACTTAAATGCTTGTGGGTTGGGTCAAAAGAGGTGGGCATGGAAGATTTTTGGAGCTGCCAGTCTTTTCTAGTAGCTGCACTGACCTTTCCCACAAGGTGCAATTATGTTCTATATTTGAGCCTGTTTGGCCTGAGGTTGCTGACAAAGCAAGTGCTGTCCCAGCTCAGCTTTTGAACTGCTGTCTTTCTGATGTGGCAGAGTGTTCCTGAAGTTGATCCTGCAGCAAATATGCACAATTCCCAGTCTCAGCAAAGGATGAGCAGCAGTTCTTACTCTTCGTCCTCTCCAACGGCCTATTCTGCTCCTCAGGCCCCAGCCCTGAACGTGACTGGTCCCATCACTGCTAACTCTGAACAGGTATTGGCACGTTGATTCTTTTGAGTGGGACTCTTTCAGCAAATCAAATTAGAAACTAATCTGCAGAGGAGCTTTCATTTTAACCCTTTGGACTTTGTCTCCTAGGTCTGGCTGTACTTAGTAGTAATTCTTTCTGTTATACTGTAAAATCTGGGCTGTGCATGTGTCTCTGTGGCCTGATAATGGCAGCACTGTGTGCTGGTCCAGCCCCCTCAGCAGTATTTTAGCAGTTATTCCCATTAGCCCCTCTCCTTTCAAGGCACAGAATGTCTTGCAGATGCAGGAAGTCAAGCCCTTGCAAATGCCCTAATAGAGGATTTTCTTTTCTCCCTGCAAAATTATAACTTCAGAGACAAATATTCTACTTAAAATATGTACATCTTTCCCCACACTGGAATGAGGCACCACAGCCAAGGTCTGGCTTTAGGTGCTGTTTGCAATTGCTTCCCTTCCATACAGACACAGCACATCTGGGTTTGTGATGATAATTCTTCTCTTTTTCTCTTCCTTTTCTCCTGGGTAAACTTTTTATCTCTCTTGGTTTTTCCCTGCTAGAATGTCTGGAGCCTGAGATATCAAGTCAGACAGAACCAGAGATATCTCAAAGTCAGTTCTTGAAAATGAACTGCTTCAACTAAAAGATTGTGCAGTGTTTTGCTGTCTTGTTACCCCAATTTAGATTGCCCGACTGCGCAGTGAGCTGGATATTGTTCGTGGCAATACAAAAGTGATGTCTGAAATGCTGACAGAAATGGTACCTGGACAGGAGGATTCCTCAGACCTTGAGTTACTCCAGGTAAGTTTCCTAGAAAATATGATTCTGATCCTTTCTGTGCTTGTGTTTCTCTGGGGGTGTGTTTTTTTGTACTCACTTCACAGCCTGTGCTTGGATTTATAATGGATCTGGGCTGTGCCTGACCCTGGCAAGTGCCATCATTTGATTTTCTTCATTTGTTAAAGCTTCCAGTGACAAGGATTTCCTTACTTCCCTTGAAACTTGTTCCAGTGCTTTCCTCTTTGTGTAGCTAGAAATTTTTCCCAATGTTGAATATCAGGTCTCCTTTACCACTAAGAAACTTAGAATTGCCACAGGTTCTGTAAGCCCTGAGCATTCCTGCTTCTTTTATATCCCTCATCATCACTTGTACAGTGTCAAAACATTCCCAGTCACCATGCAGGAAAAAGCACTCTATGTTTCCATCTGGACCAAAGAATGCTAAAGATCTGTGGGTTCTCTGCCACTTGAAATCTTATCTATGAACTGATTGTCTTTCCAGAAGATGTGTTTTTCTGAAGGTGTGGTGTCTTAAGGCAGGTGCTCACATGAGGTTCTGTGGTGTCCAGAGGCTTAGACTGGGTAATGAGGAGGGATTTCTCTGCAATCCAGTGCAGCACTGTGCATCTCAAGAAGGAAAACTGTATAAACTGAGCTCATGCCTCAGGCTTGACACCTATTTCCTAAGGCTGGTGGTCATGGGGTGGCCTTTGGGCTGAGGAAAGTCACAGATGTCACAGAGTCCCACAGATGAGGAGCACTGCAATCTGACATTCCAGCTGCTGCCCTTAAGGTGGGATTTGCCTTTCCACAGCTTCAGAAATATCCTTCTGTTCTGATCCTCCAGCAGGGAGGATGGGCTCCCACAGCAGTCTGTTCGGAGGAAGGCAGGGGATTGCTCTCTGTGATACATCAGAATTTGAAATCCATCCAGAAACTGGTCTCTCCCGTGCAGTGGCATTGTGTGTTTGTCTCAGAGCCATCATGGCAGCTGATGAGAGGTTCTGCAATAAAGAGCCTTTCAGTCACTGCCCATTTGGGTTGAGCTGCTCAAAACAAAAGCAGCTTCCAGGAAACCATGACAGGCCGAAATCGAACAGTTTGCTTACACTGAGAAACAGCCACCAGCATCCTGACAGTGTAACCTTAGAGCACAGCTTTAAGGTGAAAGAACTTGATCATAAAACGGAGTGACAGCAATGATTCTTTACCCCAGCTGGTTCCCTTCTGTGACTGATGCAGCCTAAATCTGAATCACAGAGCTGGGGAGAGCCCATTTTTGATCACAAAGGCTGGTTAGCCTTTTGAGAGCTCTGAGCTGGGTGCTGCATGCAAGGACTCCTTGCTTTGAGGTTTATATAGCCCTCCTCCTTAAATAATTCCTGACATTTTCTCCAACAATCAAATGTAAACAGCCTGTGAGAGAGCCAGCTCTGAGCAGAATAGATAGGTACTGTCAGCCCTCTCGGAAAGGCAGCAAACAAACCTCTGAAATGTCACAATCTGCTTCCAAAGTGATGGGATCAAAACTGACATTGGAGAACACATTCCTCAAGCTGTTAAGGCAGCTGGATTGCACTAGGTGAAATTTATCCAGAGCTTAGGATGTCAGACCATGCAAGGAAAACAAACACATTTTTGCTTTCATCCTGAAGGTTGTGTACCAACAAGTCATCCTTGTTTAGTGCTGAATTTTTGCTGTGAAGTGGAGCTGGGAGGAGTGGAAGATGACAGAGGGACATGCTTTAGCTGGAATGTGTCAGTGCTTATTGAAGTAAAACCGTTGGCCTGATCAGAGGCACCCTGCCATACGTCGTGTTTCTTCTTGCTGTTCTCCTCAGCAGACCAGTTTGACCTTTGGTCTTGAGGCCTTTCAGGACTACAGAATTCTGCTAAGTATTTGGTGATGGAGGAGATGTCCTGGAAGCATGAGAAGTCCTGGTCTAGGCAAACTGAAATCTAGATTTCTTGATGACAGGCTTTTAAAATAAATGCCCTCCCTCTGCATTCCTTAAAATGTTCTTCTGAAACTCCCCATTGCCTTTGTGCAGTCTCTTGTCAGTGCACTTGCTCAGTGGGAGGGAACATTTCTGTGTGTCTCAGTGCTGGAGGGTGTGTGAAACACTCACCTTTTCATTCTCCTGCCCCTTGATTTGTCTTTACCCTCATGTTCTCTGAAGCTGGTAAGTTCTCATCCTAGCACACACACACTATTTGTGGTAGCCCTGATGAGCCTTTTTTCCCCCACATGTTCATCATTTAGTTTTTAAGGATGATACTGCCAGAAAGAGCAGATTGAATTTTCCTGGAAAGCTCTCTTCTGGGAAGGTGTTGTATTAACATGTTTTATTCTTAAAACAGATGACTAAAATACAGATATTTATTTTCTGAAGTACTCAGAGTTAAAGAAGAATCAGGAAGTTGAATTGTGAATAGGCTCTCAAGGTTTTATGCCAGCATCTCTTGAAGGGCGTTTGATTAGATGTGCTTTTGGGTGACATTTAATCATGCAAAGATAAACTTGTCTTAGTGTTTCTCACTTGGGGGATATGTTTGGCGGTGAACAGAGCTCAACTAAATCTACTTATTGCTTGTTGCTTATCAGACTGTGTGTGCACAATGCATTCCTCCTAGGAGCTGAACCGAACCTGCAGAGCCATGCAGCAGAGAATTGTGGAGCTTATCTCACGAGTGTCCAATGAAGAAGTCACAGAGGAGCTGCTGCACGTGAATGATGATTTAAATAACGTCTTCCTCCGATATGAAAGGTGGGGCATCTCTCCCAGCGACCAGTTACATTCATTCAGGGTTTTCACATAAGAATAAAATAGGTCAGTTGGTGAAATTGGGCCTTCTGGGCCAAGGGTCTAACATGACACAGAGAACCAAACCACAGGAACCATTTACACAGTGTTTTTATAGCCTTTTATGGTAACATTCCTGTTTCAGTCGATTCTTTTAATACTATGATTTTTTTTTTTTTTGTGCTATGCATAGAATTTTTGTAGGGCATATCCATGAAATGCAAGGCAACCTTGTGAAAACGCTCGAGTCTGCGAGTCCCTGTTGTGCAGGGCTGTACAGGTGTAGGGACTTGGGACCAAAAATAGCTCAGCCACAGTCACTAGTTCCCCTGCTAGCCCAGGCTCTGCACAAATCTCTGTGCTGCTTCCTTGCTTAGGGAGGCTCCCATGAGCTCTCTCTGCCCTCTGATCTCTGAGCTCTCCAGTCCCAGTGCTGGTGCAAGGGGAGCTGCCTGAGGTGGGCGGGAGCATTGAGCATGCAAAGGGTTTGTTCTAAAGCAACACTTAAAATCTTGAAAAACAAAAAAAGCCTGTCTGTGCAGAGCTAATGTTTCGAAGAGCTGGTGTGCAGGAATGATCCCCAGGGACAGGACTTGGGGCACAGGACTTTGGACATGTCAGACAAAGGCGCTGTCAGGCACATCTGCTGCAGGAGGTAACACGTGATGCCGCAGTCTTGGGAAAGTTTAATCTTCCCCTTAATGACAGGCCTGGGGAGCGAGGCACCAAAGAGTACCCTTTGTTCCTTGCTCTTAGCACAGGGCTTTGTTTCTCAAGCCTTTAAAAATAAATTAGACTCTAGATCTGTGAATTTGTGCTGTCACGGCAAAGGCTGCAAAGACGACTCGGTGCCCTCGATTTTGCCTTTGATTTCGTCGTTCAGAGGAGATGGGGCAAACTTTGAAACAAACGCTGGCTTTTTGTGTGAAATGGTGTGTGTTTCATGCACAAGCAGGGTTCTACAAGTGGCAGAGTGTAACTATCACTGAGGTTTAGTCTGGTCACCCTTAATATTTTTTCTATTTCCCCCCCATCTACGACTTTGCTGACTGTGACTGATGTGTTTGTAGTCATTATTCATGAAAAGGGAGCTGAGTGATGTTAGCAAGCCATTTGTGGTGGAATAGCTGCACTGGTCTGAGCATTCAATAAATTCCAGTTCCTCCTCTGCTATTCCAAAAGCTCCCCATCCATCATGCTGATTTCTAGCACAGGGACCAAGCTCTGTTAGTGACTCAAGCAGGAGCTCTGGCCTTTGCTGTGAAGCCTTGGGATGTAAATGAACAGAAGCCTTTTGGTGAGAAATGAGGTGGGAGGTGTCTTAGGTTTCCAGCAAAGGGAGTTGGATTTCCAGTAATAGCAAACACCCACAGTTTCCTAAAATTGAAATTTGGGCCTGAATTTGGTATTGCTGCCTTTTAAGTCTGTATTTTCCTCTGTTACATTAAGAAAACATTTTAGTTTGCGTGACATTCCCTGTTGTATTTTGTCCATCTGGGAGAAAACCCGTAGGATTATATGAATATTATGGGCTTTTTGCTGGAAAGAGAGACTGCTTCTGAAACTACTTTGAAAAATTCAAACCTCCAAGAAATCATGGTGCTTTTCCATGGTGAGGAAGGAGATCAGCCTGGCCTCAGACAGACCATGGGAGCAGGCAGTTCCCCTGCTGTTTTGAGTTCACAGAATCACAGAATGGTTTGGGTTGGAAGGGACCTCAAAACTCATCTAGTCCCACCCCCTGCCATGGGTGAGGACACCTTCCACTAGACCAGGTTGCTCAAAGCTCCATCCACCCTGGCCTTGAAGGCTTTCATAAAAGGTGGGTTTAGGTTTGTGGCCCCAGATGCACAGAGTAAAGAAGAGATCAGAGCTTGACTAACCCGACATCTTCTCCTTAGAAGTGCAAAGGTTTTATCCAACATCATTACTTTTCCTTGTTGGAAAGTACCAACCTATTTGAGCATAGGCTGTGACCATCTTTGAGTTGTCTCAGGATGTTTTAAGCAGGGAATCTGCTGCCCATTGTCCCTCGTGCCACACACACATGGCTCCTCATTTACATTATTGCAGCAAGAGGGAGCTGGTAAGTGGGAGTGAGCCGAGCTGCAGTGCTTGGCTTGTGGAGCTGTGAGCATCAATCTTGCTGCAGTTCCTCCTGTCCCTTGGCTCACACAGCAGTCTGTCACAAAGCACTTAATGATTAAACCCCCCCCCCCCCAAACCAAAAGACAAATCCTGCAGTGGTTTACAAGCATGTTTGTGCTGCAAGATCAGATTAGTCAACTTAAAATCCACCTTTGCCAAGACTGCAACTTCTCAGCAATCCTCTCTTTGTCTTGGCTTGGAGTTAAAGCTTTCAGGCTTCCCTTTGGAGCCAGAGAAAGCTAAGTTCAGTGGCAAGAATGTCATGGCTTGGTTATAACCTCATGTTTTTTATTATTAATGGTGGCTTTGATAATCTGTGTTATGTTTTTTTTTCCCTGAACAGATTTGAACGATACAGATCGGGACGCTCAACACAGAACGCCAGCAATGGAGTAAGTACTCACTCCTTTGATTCTCTTGTGCCAGCTGTGGTACTATCAGTAGCACCATAACTTACTCCTTTGTTTCTCTAATACCAGCTGCAATGCTACCAGTAGTATCACACCTCACTCCTTTGATTCTCTCATACCACCTGTAGTACTATCAGTAGTATCTGCCTGCCCTGCCCTGTGTCCTGCCTGTGCTGCCTAATGGTGGTTACCAGGAAAAGTAAGAATGTGGCAAATCCCAAGGGACAACTTTTAGCTCAGGAAGTCACTTTACAGTAAAATATCTCTGTGTTTACAATCCTTGATGGATTTTCATTCCTCTATTAACTTTTTTGATTGCTTTTGAGTCTGTGTGGACTTTAGGAGTTCACAATGTCCTTAAGCAGTAAGATCCACAGTTTCACTATACATTTTTACATATTTATTTTGCATTTATATATAACAAATATTTTGTTTACATTTGATCAAGTCACTTAATGATTTTTGTTTGCTTCACCTAATTTTTCTTCACTGTGTCTTACAATGCCACTGTTCAGGTTAATTTTCTTCCTGCCATTCATAATTTTAAGAACCACTCTTATCTCCTTTTTAAGCAGCCCTTTTCCAAGCTGAAGAGTTCTAATTATTCTTTAAATGAAAATTCTTTTGTAGTTGTTTTATAGTGTTCAAGGTCTGAGTTCATGATGAATCTGTACTTCTATTATGTTTTCTCTTCTGCATTCATAACTATTTCCTCTGTTTACTGTGCTTTACCACTTCTGCAGTGTGATGCAAACTTCAGCAAAGACTCTGTATTGACACTTGAGTCACAACAAAGAAGTTTTGTTTCTGAAAACAGTTTATACATAATGTGGAAAATTGTATTGTTTAATGTTGTACTGCAAGAAGAAATTTCTGGCATTTGTAACTTCTGTGTTTCTTGTGTCCTGACAGGTACTGAATGAGGTGACAGAAGATAATTTAATAGATTTGGGTCCTGGCTCTCCAGCTGTGGTGAGCCCAATGGTTGGGAACTCAGCACCTCCATCTTCACTTTCTTCACAGCTTGCAGGGCTTGGTGAGTGCCTGATCTGGATCAAGCTCTCCTCTACCTATTAATGTTGCCATGTGGCCTCCAAAAGGTTTGGGTATTTTGCTTACAGGGGGATTAGAAGGCATTCCCACTCTCCTGCACTGTGGCAATCTGCAATTGAGAACCAGCCTGGCACAGAGGGAGGGATTTATTAAGCAGAGAGAGGGGAGACTGATGGAGAGGGTGCAGGTTGTTGTTCATGGCAGAACTTGTACTACTACTTCTGTTTCTGCTTAGTTATAGTTGTCTGGGAAATCAACCTGGTGGTGTTCTTGATTCCCCTTCTACAAATAATATTTGAAACCTTTGGGTGAAAGATTTTTTGAAACTCTTAGGTGGTTTGCATTAAATCAAACCAAAGATTGTGTGGTTGGATCACTGGGTTTGACTGAAGGTTCTCCACCTCTTTCAGCACTGCACCAATACCATATCCCTTTGTTTGAAAGTGTTGCTTTCACAATCAGAAACTGAGAGAAAACATTGTGGAGAAAACTACTGTCCATGCCCAAAATTTTGGGCTGTGTTAGTGACCACTAAATATCTCAGTTATTGGCAGCAGGTTCACACCAATTCCCAAATGCTGGCTTCTTGATGAGGAGCATTTATGCAGTGCTGCTTCCAGGATGAATTAGATAACACCTGATTAGCATCCTCCAGCCTTTCCTGAACAAAACTGTCCTCAGTGCTGCAGCTGTTAATGATGATGGTGTTTGCTCATGGTTTGTTATTTCACTGGTTCACTATTTTTTCTCCTCTTGCAGACTTGGGCACAAACAGTGTCAGTGGCACACTCAGCTCCCTCCAGCACAGTAATCCTCGTGATGACTTTGACATGTTTGCACAGACAAGAGGCAGCTCTTTGGCTGAGCAGAGAAAGAAGTAAGTTGGAGTTTGTCTTCAGCACCGAGTCATGGCACTGCTGTTTTCTAAGGGCATAAGTATGAAACTTCTTGACTTCAGACTGAAAAAGTAATTTTGGTGTATGTTTTTGTGCTTTTAATCCAATCCCTATCCTTTTGGTTGTTATTTACATGAGCAAGTTATAAAGTTCTTGCTGCTGGACAGAGCAGACTGGCTGGGTACTGACTTAGTTAATGAGCTCACTGGAAACTTGGAAATGTGCTTTCCTGTACTTCTGCCTTCTCCTAAGGCTTGTCATCCCATCCACCCATGTTTGAGATACAGGAGCAGAAGGGTCCTTCACCTGAAGGTCATGGATGTGCTTTGGTGGCTGAATTACTGTCATCAAAAGCTTGGAAACAGAATTACCATCCAGTTAACTCTCCTTTTGGCCCCAGTCAGACTCTCACAGGCTGTCAAGGCAGTGTAGCTTGCCTGGCTTCATGCTACCCTTAATTTGTTTATATGCATAGGGCTTGCATCTCTAGAGCTGCAAATCTGGCACTTTCAAGGGCATTTAACAGGTCAAATTATTTTAATGTAAAATAAATCTATGCACTTATTAAGAAATCCTTTGATCCCTGTCAAGTGATATTCAATAAAAGACACACTCAGGTATTTTTCTTCCATATATTATTTCTTGCCTCCTGGCTTCAGACATTAGAGGAAGCAGTCAGACCATCATCAATATCTTGTCTCAAGCTAAGAAATGCTGTTAAATAGTTTATCAAAAATTTAGAAAACTTGAGCCTACAAATTTATTGGGCTCTTTTATTTGCAGTTATCAATATAGCTATTGGTACTGCCTCAGCTGTGGTATCAGAAGAAATTCTGTCATATAGAGGGATAAGCCACCACTGGAGATTTTGGGCTGGGAGCCTTAATGTACAGTTAGAAAGGAGAGGCATTGCAGGAGAGATCTAATCAAGGTCCCTCTGTCTCTTGTGCTAAATGAAGCACAAAACTACTCTTCCCACCCGTACCTAATGGAACAAGGAGCACAGATCATCCGTGATTTCACAAGGGAGGATTGCTCTGCCTTCCCTGGGTTGTGTACTGTATAAACAGAGCAGCAGGGAGGAGGAGAGGCATGAGTGTGACTTGCTGTGGTGTGTAGGTGACAGCTCTGGGTGTGAGAGCTCTGGGTGCTGTCACAGCTTGGGAGAAGCCAGCAGGAGGAGGAGAGAGGGCTCCCCCTGCTCAGCAGCCCCTCCCAGGAGCAGATTTATGGGCACGTGTTTGTGTCTGCTGCAGCTCATGGTTCACCACTGTGCTCTGGGAGATGCTGCTGCTGCTGCCTCTGTCACCTGACTGCTGCCTGTCCCTTTTGCATTGCAATTTAAGAAGCTTTTAACAGCTCTGTAAATAGTGCATTTCTTTGTCTGCTTCACTGCAGTTGCTTCATTTCATCTCTCTTTGAGTCTCGCTCTGCCTCCCCCCGATGCACACGGCAAGGTCAGGCTCCAGATGTCATCTCCAAGTCTTTGTTAAACATAATCTGCAATCAGGCCTCTTTTCACAGTCCCCCACTTGCTCCTGGACATTCTTAGGGTGCCTTGTGACCTGTTTCCCTGCCTTTCACAATGCTGATCTTACTCTCTTTGCTTCAAGGTGCTTTCCAAAACTGATGGGTGGCCTTTGTACAGAGCAAGCTCCTCTTCTTGGGGTACACACAGTACCCTCCAAATCTTGTTAAGAAAAAGAATGTGCTTTCTGGTTTCCAGGAGAGTAAATCAGGGTATCCAGAGTATTGTTCTCCCATGAGCAAAGGCTGGGAGAATTGGGATTGTTCAGCCTGGAAAAGAGAAGGGATTGGGGTGACCTAATTCAAATACCTGAAGGGAGCCTAAAGAAAGATGAGCAGAGACTATTTACAAGGGTCTGAAGTGACAGGACAAAGGTGAATGGCTTCAAACTAAGAGAGTTTAAATTGAATATTGGGAAGAAATTCTTCCTTGTGAGGGTGTTGAAGCACTGACACAAGTTGCCCAGAGAAGAAATGGTCTCATGTAGATGCTGCCCCATCCCTAGAAGTGTCCAAGACCAGATTGGACAGAGCTTGGAGCAACCTGGGATGGTGGAAGGTGTCCCTGCCCATGGCAGGGGTGGAATGAGAGGATCTTTTAACATCCCTTCCAACCCAGGCCTTCCTATGATTCCATGATTGCTGATGGGTGATTGCTGGAGTTTCTTGCTAGTTCTGTGGTTTGTTCTTCTCTTCCAGCGTGACGTACGAGGACCCACAGGCTGTCAAAGGACTGGCATCTGCCCTGGATGTCCGGAAACAGAACACAGGAGGGGTAGGTCACAGCTCTGAGTTTTGTTATCCACATGGAATCCGAGCTGGAGGTGGCTGCTTTGACTGAGCTTCTCATTCTGTATTCCAGCAACATGGTAGTAATGGCTATTTTGAATTGATATCTGGGAGCAAGTGCTGTCTCAGTAATGATCTCTAAAGGGATGCTGCACTTCAGTCTAAAAGACTTCAGAATCACAGTGGGTAAATCCTCCTGTGTCCTTGCAGCTTGTCTGGGGAGTCCAGCTCTTTGCCTGGAATCACTGCTGAGGAGAATTAAGTGGGGAATATCCTGTGAACACTGATGTGCATTGGCTTGGTTTGTTTTGCTTTATGAAAGTCTTAATCTCCTAGACTTTGCTTCAAGTGCATGGATACACAAGTTACAGGGAGAGAAATGATGCAGACATTTAATGCTTCACATTCCTTGCCATAACTGCCCTTGCTTGCAGCCTGTTCTGTCTGCCCAGGGCAGGCTCTTGCTCTCTTGTGTGGGCAGAAGAGCCCCATGTGCTGTCACCTCACAGCAGCTGACACTTCAAACACGGGTGAGAGAGCTTGGGCAGCTTTGTCTGCATCCCTCGCTGAAGGCAGAAGTGAAGGAGCTTTCAGATCATCCCCCGACCCCTTTCCACCACCCTGCTTTTAAAAACTCTGCTGCTCTTTTGTACACAGCTGTGTGTGAGGTTTTAGAGGACAGAGCCAGAGCCTTTTCCAGTCCAATTTTGGGCTGTGCTGACCACTAGGGAGCACGGCAGAGCCAGCATAGCATGGGAGAGCCAATGCCGTGTGCACATGCCTCTCACCGGGGAGATTTGCCTCCCCATGCCTTGGCTGATCCCACCCTGGTTCTTTCATGAAGTGGGAGTGCTCTGGGCAGCTGGCATGCCTGGCAGCTTGTGCTCCAAGCCAGGGGGAATTTGTGTTGAGAGCCAGCTGGGGTCAGATCACAGCTGCCTGCCTGCCCAGTCCATCACTCAGTGGGAGCAGGGCCTCAGCTCTCACAGAGCATCCCCCACCCCACAAACCTGCCTGCTTCTTCCTGCCCCTGTCCTCCTGCAGGAAGGGCAATTTATAACCAGGTCAGCCCCATGGCCAGCTGGAGCTCAGCCCCACAAAAACTCATGGCAGCAGTACTGAGGGAAAAGGGGAAGCATGAGGAGGCAGAAATATTCCTTCACAGGAATTCCTGAATCCAGTGTGACATCCCAAGCCTTCAGGATCACTGAGCTGTTATTGGCAGGACCTGGGGAAGGATTTGAGATCCTGCTCTTTGTTCCTGGCTAACCAAATGCAAGGGCCTTGCATTTAGCTGGTCAAGGGGGCTGTATCCCCCAGTGGCCTCAGGGTCATGTCTTTATTTATTAACACTTCTCTTCCCAGCCAGTTCTGCTTTAGGCACCAGCACAACATGTCATTCACACCAGCAGAGCTGCTGCTCTGCCCCAAGTGCTGTCAGTTCAAAGGGCTGTGGCTAAGCTCATCTGAGGGTCAAAGTTTTTTGGGGTAAATGCCTTTTGGGTTGTGGAACTTGGGGCTATGAGATGTGGAGACTTTCAGCCTCTTTTCAAAGGTCCTGGAGACTGTAACGTGTAATCAGAAGAGCTTGTTTTGAAATGCAGTTGCTCTGTAATTGGTAAACACTTTTTCTCAACTGTTGTGAGGCTTGTGGGTGTCTCTTCTTAAAGGAAATAAAAATTAAACTCTCCTAAAGTTACCAGCCCCAGCATGTGGAGCAAAAAACTGGCAGTGCTCAGTAAACGAAAACCCAGGCTTTAATTTGGGTAGAGCTAATTTAAGAACAGCTCTGGGGAGGAGCCAAAAGCTTTGCAACACATTCTTCACACACATCTCGTTCCAGCACAGTTGTCCAGTGGCAGAATTCAGCACATCCGACGTTTCTAATGCAGTCATTCTCAGAATGGTCTGCAGAGACAGGGCTGATCACGTGGCATTAGCTGTCTTTTAATGTGATTTAGCAGCTGGAAACAAGATGAGCTAAAAATACACTGTTTTCTTAATATTGCTTTTCCATGTTGGGAATTGCTTTTGTTGCCACTGAGTTGTTGCATGATCACAACCGGGAGGAGAGGTGTCCAAGAAACAATTCTCTGCTGTTACACAGAGAGTAGATGAAATTGGAATGATTTCCCCTTATTTTTTTCCCCTCATAAAATGAGACATAAAAGATTGCAGCTGATTCTCCATTACCTGTGTTAATGGGGCCAGGGAGGTGTCTGGGTGGATGTACATAACACACCAATGGCTCTCTGCTGAGCTCACCCAGGTCTGGGCTGGAGCCACTGCACTCTGCTGAGCCCAGGCAAGCCCCTCCAGAGCTGGAGATGACTCTGCATCCCCTGGCTCAGGGAGGAGGTGCTGAAGGACACAGAAGCATCTCAGAGTGTTGGTGGTGCTGTGCCATGCAGTCTGCAGCCTGCTCGGGGGAGCTGGATGCATCAGCAGTCCTTTCACCTCTGTGCTTTTCAAGAGGGGCAGTTTGAAAGGCTGCCAGGACACTGCAGCAAACTGCCCTGACTTCTCTCCACTCAACACAGTTGCAGAGGTGCTGTGCTGTCTGTGTGGGGCACAGTCTGTCTGCTGAGGTCAAGGACATGAGCAGGGGGTGCTGCAAGCCATGGCCTCGTAAACAAGGGGGACTCCACAGACTGTCACACAAGAGTTTCCAGGGCAGTCTCACTGCCTGCAAGAGCTTGTACAGCCTCACTTTTCCTTCTTCTAAGAAGATGACAAACATCAGCCTCACTACTAGCCAGTGATTGGTTTGTTTTATCATTATTATTTTTATTTTTAAGGACATCATGGAGGGAGTGCTAAAACGCTGTGAACTGTCTGTAGGAAGTGCAGAATTCTGGGTGAGGTCTGTCCCCTTATGGACAGAGCTGACAGGCAGAGGGGGACACAGCTGCTGCCAGAAGCTACTGTAGGCAACTCTGTGTGTGTTTGTGTGTGTCTGTGTCTGTGAAGTTTTTAACTGTTTTATTACTTTATCACGGGTTGTTGCTGTGGTTTCTCTCTTTATGGACCTTTTTGTTCTCAACACAGAGGAGAGGTAAAGGTGGGAACTCAGACATGGAGCCCATAGACAAGTGGCTAATTACACAAGGAATGGTGAGGACTTCACCAGTGAATTCCTCCTGCCCACCCCAGTCCCTGACCTAGAATAACCATCCTCCATTCACCTCTCGTCCTGCCCTGTTGAACCACTTCAAATCGGACAGTACAAGGAGTTCATTTCCCACCTGCATCATTACCTGGGGCAAAGGGAAACATTTGCACCAATTTCTGGTTTATACAGCACAAAGACCTGTAAATAACTGAATCATTTGTAGGATCCCATGTCACCTTCAGAAGAGGCCTGGGGATCCAATTGGTTCCTTCTACTGTCTTGATTTATTTATGCAGTATCCACTTTTCGAGGGATAAACACAAGTCTCATGGATCTTATTCATAAAGAGGACACTTGCTATCTGTCTGTAAAGCAGCTTTTTCTGGTAGTGCTTAGCTTCATGGTCTGGAGTAAACATAGGGAAGTTGTAGGATCATATTGAATTGAACTGAGTAATGTAGGGATCATTCTTTATGCAAGGAAGAGAATGGGAGAACTGCTGCCCAGATTGGCATCTTCAACCCCACTGGCATTAGGAATCAGACTCCAAAAGGTACAATAGTGTTTCTGGCTTTAAGGATTTAATTCCTATGTCTGGTGATGCCAGTGCCTTGATAAAATCAGGCTTCTGAAGATCACTGAACCTGTGCACATTCTGACCTTGTTTGAAGCTGTCCTTCATCAATGTGCTTGCAGAGAGAAGTTCAAAGCTTGCTTTAGGTGCAGAAGCCAGAGGAAAGGAAAAATACCCTCAGCTGTGCCTTAAAGCCAAGTTCTGAGACCAATTTTTTTGGACCATGTAATCCATCATTTTAAGTGTTTGAGATTAGTACCAATAATGTGACCTAACTGTAGAAAATCCTCCTGAGACAGTCCTGGCTGCAGCTGAGTTCAGAAAAGTGCAGGGAGAATTCCCTTTGTTCTGGGGTGTGCTGGCAGGGCAGCATGTGGGGCTGGGCACCAGGAACAGAAATTCTCACTCCAGGGAGAGCCCTGAATGCCCCAGACTGGGCTGCCCAGTGCTTAAAAAAGAGAAACATCCCAGAAAGCTTAAAGTTTAGAAAATCCAGAGTGTGCAGTATCTACTCTGTGAAACACTTGCATTTATTCTTCTGGATTTAGGGCTAATCCAGATTATTTCTCAGGGCCAGTTTGGGAGTTTGGCAGAATTTTGCACGGCTGGTGCACACACAGTGATGGGACAGGTGCTGTCTCTGCCTGCCCAAAAGCAGCTCCATGGCTGCTCACACACGTGGATAAACCCACTGTGGGTACCTGTCCCTGGGAGCCAGAGTGTCACTTTGGTGCTGTCACACACCCACAGCTCACAAGGTGAGGGTGAAAAGCTGTAAAATGAGCACCAGTATCAGCTGTGCCTCTGATGCTGTTGGCTGTGGCTCACAGGGCCTCTCGCTGTTCAGTGGCTCTGTTGCAGCCAGGGGTGTGCTGTGCCACTGTGAGATGTTCATCCATAATGAATAATCCAGTGATTGAGTTAGTTCTTCTTCTTTGCCTTTCCACTGTTTACAAGAGCTGGGGAGCATGAAATCAGCACCCCTGCTGTTCACACCACTCACACCAGTGCTTTATTAAAAAAGCAAACAGCATATTCCTTCATTGGCTTGTGGTTATTCAGTCTGGAAAAAGGATACTGCAGCATTCATGGAGGCATATGGATCTGGGGAGGGAAGGGGGCCTGGCTGTCAACCAGTCACTGCTCTTACAAACCTGCCACCTTGTTTGTATGCTAAATACGAGAGAGAAATACCTAAAATAAAACCAAACTAATCATTAACTCCGTTTCTCTCTTAACTCGCTGTAGTTCTTAACAGTGTTTATTAATATGACCTGTAGCATTTACAATGCCAGTGGATAACTAGAATGCCAGGTATGAACTTGTTGTTCCCCCTCTGTGGGTACTTTTTGTACTTGGGTGAGGAAAGGGGTGAGCTGACACTGCTGCTCCCTGAGCCTGTGCAACCTGAGACCACTCAGAAGGAATTCTCCACCTGCCAGAGTGGTTCTCACATCCCTCACGACCTGACATTGTTCTCTACAAGCTGTGATACATTTCAGCTTTGGGTTGAGTCCTTCCCACTCCATTTCTCTGCATCCCAGTTCACCACACACCTTTGCAGTCTCTGGCTCTCCTCTCCCAGTGAATTTGGCAGTGTTGTTCTTGTTTCCAGTTAACCTGTGGCTCAGTTCTGCCTTCAAGATGATGCCAGAACCATGGAGACAGACACAAGCCACACTTTTATCTGTCTCAGCTCTACCTACAAAACTAAAATAGACAAAATTATATTGGCAGAAAATGTTTCTGGTTTTTGTATGGCTGAGGGACGGGAGGTGAGCTGTTCAGTGACAGATCTGGGTTTTGTAGGTCTCACACAGGAGTCCATATCAGCAGCAATCAGGCACAGACTTTACCACAGAGCCACATTTAGGCGGTCTCAGTTCCATTCTCGTGAGATTGGACAGAGATTTGCATTCATATATTCCTTTCTTAGAATAATCTCTCACCCCACTCACATACCAAATGGGTTATTTGTTATGAAAGGGAGAAGTGGGTGTTGCTTAAGCCACACCATGTTAGGACATTAATTGGGACAGCGGCAGGGGAAGGATGAAACTGAACCAGAATTCACAGAAAGTGATAGGAACACCACTCAGCATTCTGTCTTGACTGGCAGCAGCATGCCTGGCTAGAGAGGAGAGCCCTCTTTGTAGGGAAGATAGGTGAGTGAAGATTAAATGAAACCTCTGTTAATTAGTAACCAGGTGGGATGCCGCTATGTGCCTTCAAGAGAGAGATAGGATCTGAGATGTGGAAATGACTTGGGTAACATGAGACTGTTGAATGACATCATCTTCTTGGAGACTGAAGTGCTTGAATTGTGGATAATCCCAAAACCAGGCACGTGGAGATCTCATTTCTCCCGTGTGGTGGGACCCCTCTCGCTGTTGAAGGCAAGCAGGAGCCTCCAAACACCACAGGGGTCTCCTTGGGCAGCCCTGGTGTTTGCAGAGCTCTGTGCAGGGACAGCCCAAGCCCTGGTGGCAGTGGCAGTGGTGGTGGCACTGCCTGGACACTCCTGTCACATGCAGATGGGCTGTTGTTGTACAGCTGTGCAGCTGGGCACAGCCTGGGGACACGCTGCAGCCCAGCTCCTGCCCTGCAATGTGCAAACACACTCAGGAGTAACCAAGGAGTTCATTTAATCCTTGCACATAAAGCCAAGCGTGGTCTAATATTGAGGCCAGGCAGCTATTTCAAGATGACAACAGCTTTAAATAGATGGTAAGGCTGTAGTAGTAAGCTGGAGTAGCCTGCTAGTGTGCTCCTAGTGCTGCTGTAGGAATGCCAGACCTTTACTACTGCTAACCAGCGAGGGGGAGTGAGTAGCAACTAACCAAGAACTGGTGTCAGCTTTGTTAAACATCTAGAAAGAAGTGGAATTAACTAAGCTATTACAAGGCGGTAGTCTAGCAACAATTAGCATAAACCTTGTTAAACATTTTAAGAACATTAATGAGCTCACCTAGAGACCTGAATTGTCATTTCATACCTGCTTCTTTTCCAGTGGGATCATTTTTAATAGAAATAAAATGTGATAATAATAACCTTAAACTGTCTTTTTAAGGGTAGAATATTGGATTTTATGACTTCTGAGGAAAAATATTGGCAATACTCTTTGGCTTTTGATTGCTAGTGAGAACATCAACACAATCTAGTTTAGATAAGGAGGAACTTGAATTCCAGGTTCCTTTGGGTTTTGTGGGATTGAGCACTCACTTTTGTTCTCCCAGCCCTCCTTTTCCATTTCTCTTTCAGGACTGTTGAGATGATCCCATTTGTAGGATTTTCCAAAGACTAAATAAAAAAGGAATTTAAACAATCAGACCGGCTTTTAATTAGAGCCAGTTACTTGAAGTACCCAAAAATATTTTGTGACTTAATTTCCATTTACTGTAAGTATAGACTTTAACAAAAAAAATCACAATATCTTTATACAAACAGCTCTTGCAACCTGCACTATCTGGGGAGCTCTCTTGCCAAGACTGAAAGCTTCACTAGACCATGCAAGTTTGCATAATCAAAATATCAACAAGGCAGTGTCCCATTCCAGAGTTCTTTCCATGTAGTCTGTGGCTGCCACTGCTGCTTGTTCCCAGAAACTGTTGTCTTTTTTTAATGTGTAAACTAGTTATTTTATTTTAACATTGCCTCTGTTGTGATTTAGGAGTCTGTTACAACAAAATTCCCCTGCACATTTTTGAGTTTAGGGCTTCTGAAAGGGGAAGACTTGCCAAGTACCCAACTGAATGGCTAAAACCTGAGCTTCTCTGTACATTCTCTTCTTAGTTTAAAATGAAAAATAAATGTTACAATGTTATCGTTAAAATAATTTAAAACTTCCAGTTGCTCTTTGAGAGTTTCCTCCCTCTTTATTCTTGAACAAATTAAACCTGACACATGTAACCCATGTTTTATGAGGAGATGGGGCTCAGAGTCTTAGGAAGGTAAACTGGAAGTTTGTGCATGGAAGGAGCAATGGATAGGAGCCCTCAGCACTTCTGTGGGTGTGCTGGGAGACAGGGAAAGCTTTTTGAAAGGTCAGTGCTGAATAGCAAACGGCTGACACACTCAGATGTTTATCTTACAGCTTTGTCTGCTTCTCTGCAAGAAGTGCTCTTGCACTTCTGAGGGCTTTGTTTGTTTGTTATAAGTAGCTCTAGCTGAAAGTAGAATTCCTTTTTTTGCTTTTTTTTAATTTCCATTTTTAAAAATTCTTACGAAACACCACAGCACAAACTCTTGTGCTGCTGAGCTGTTCTTTCTGCAAATTGAAGAGTCCTGTGATTCTCAGGAATTCAGCACTTGATCAGTCATCTGTCATGTTTTGAGGATAATCAAGATTTGAGCTGCTGTTCCTTCTAATACAGGGGCAGTGTACTGCCACACTTTTTAGAACAGCTGCTCTTATATTAATAAAAATCCTGGAATGGTTTGGGTTGGGAAAAAGGATAATCTTATTCCAGCCCTCTGCCATGGGCAGGGACACCTTCCACTATCCCAGGGTGCTCCAAGCCCCATCCAGCCTGGCCTGGAACATTTCCAGGGATGGAGCAGCCACAGCTTCTCTGGCAACCTGTGCCAGGGCCTCCCTACCCTCACAGGGAATAATCTCTTCTAATATCTAATCCAAATCCACCCTTTTTCAGCTTAAAGCCATTCCTCCTTGTCCTGTCACTGCAGGGCTTCATCCAAAATCCCCCTCCAGCTCTTTTGGAGTCCTGTGTTTCTGTAAATTTTATTCACAGAAAAGGAAAAATAAACCAGTTTTTTCCCTCTTCCCTTCCATGCACATGTTCTTATCCTTAGAGAAGCAAAATCACCTTTCTGAGCTGCAACCCAAGCAACAGCTCAGAGGCTGCACCTTCCACAGGGTTAAGCAACACAAGAGAGAGGCAGCAGTGCAACATCTGCAGTAGGTTTTAGGTTGCTGTAGGATGAATAAAATCAGTACTTTATATCTCTGAAGCCAGTATTTTATAAAGCTAAATGTTAAACCAAGAAGACAGTTTTACTAGATGCAGTTTGTCCTTGGGAAGGAATGTGTTGGAAGGTGCTTAGAGCTCTTCCCTTGTGAGTGGCCAGCTGTGATAGTGTTGTGTGTGCATGATTCAGGAAATCAGAAAGGGACAGTTGTCCTAAATCTGGCCCATTCCAGAGGAAACTGCAGGAATTTATTTTCTGTTTGGGTTTTTTATGAATTCACTGGAAGCAAAGTGACACCTTGTACCTCTGACCCTGGGGACTGACTTTGTCCAGCAACTTGTCAAGTCAGAGCCCAGCCACCTTCCTGGTGCTGCTCTTTGAGGGAGATGCTTTGGCTTGAGTTCTGGATTTCCAGTTCTTGGACACAACTAACCCACTTTGGCACATCTCACCTCAAGCAAGGGCTTAACTGGCCTCCTCAGTACAAAGGGCCACTTGATTCTGTGCAAAAATTCCTGAGGAGCTTTGCTAAACAGCCTCAGCCTGTGTGATCCAGCATCTGTCCATCTTCCCCTGCTAGAAGTGCCTGAGAAAACTCCATCTCCCAGGAAATTAATCTGCAGAGCCTCTTCCAGCTTTTCATATTGAATCACAGAGTCATAAGGTTGGAAAAGACCTCCAAGACCATCAGGTCCAACCATTAACCCACCACTGCCAAGGCCACAACTAAACCATGTCCTAACCACATCCACAAGGTTTTTTATCACTCCTAGGGTGGGATTCCTGTGAGAGGTTTCAGGCAAAGCTGTGGGGAACCTCTGACACCTTTTCTGCCTCGGAGAGTCCCTCTAGCAGTGCCAGGTCTCCTCCCTGCTCAGCTGCCATGCCCTGGCCTGGAACTCACATGTCTGACATTGTTTTCCAACTATTTCTCAGGTTGTCCTTACCAGATCTATTGTGGTGTTTTCCTGTTTACCTCGGCAGGCCTCTGCTGTATTTAAGCAGTGTAGTTAAGTCAGGAAATTCTACACCTAATACTCAGTAATTTCCCTTTGCTGACCCAGTTACCCTCAGCACTGTGTGACATCGCTGCCCTTCAGCTGCCTCTGTGCTGCCTGGTGTAATCACACTGGTACCATGAGCAGTTCCACTGCAGGAGCAGAGGCAAGCCTTCCATGCCTGAGTGTTAAACTATCCCTGGAGCCTGAGCTGTTCTGGAGAGCCCTGCTGCAGCTCTGGGGCTGTGCTCTCCTCCTCTGCCCCATCCTCTTCCTCCCTCACCTGAGAGCCCGCACTTTGCACTGGCACATGCTGGGCTCTGCCAAAGGTGTCACCTTTGGCCGAGGAGTGGGAACTGGGAGCTGGGACAGTTTTGCTTTAAACCCTTGTGCCAGGGCTTGCCAGGGCTTGGTGGTGTGGTGGGAGGAGGATCTGGGAGGAAGCATGACTGTACTCTGGGCTCTGACTTCTCCACCTGCACGGAAAACCAATTTGTTTTCATAGGAGTGTTGCCTGAAGACTTTGAGCCCCTCTTTTTTCTAACCCTTCACTGTGGCTAATACCCATTTTATAAAAACAAAAGGTGTAAATTTAACATTTCAAAACCTAACTGATATCCAGTATTCTACCCTTAAAAGCATTTCACGATCAAGATTAGAATCATCAGTCCACCTTGATGGTTTTAATATGTGGTCGAGAAGTTACTCATCTTACACTGGCATCCAGTCACGTCATTTCCCATAATCTTTCTCCTGTTTTTTTTAGCCTTGTTGTTCATAATTTCCTTTCCAAGTTGTTTCTTTATTTGAAATGCCATTTATATTTTGTTGCCTTCTTTTTTTTTTTTTTCCAGCACATCTTACATCTTTGTTTTTGTTTTGTTTTTAATCTTATTTCTGGCGTTTTCCATCGCTCTGTGGCCATGATTGTGGATGTGTTTTGGTTTTTGCCTGCCTTGCTGTTCTCTCGCTGCACTCCCTAGATCCCTGTTGCACAGTCCTCTGTCATGGATGACATTGAGGAGTGGCTCAGTACCGACTTGGTGAGACTCTTTATATTTTCATTTTTCACTTGCACGGGTAACTTTCAATGCATTGCTGAGTTCCTGGTACTTCTCATAGCAGGAAGCAGTGAAACTTCCCAAACAGAGAGTTTGGTTCCCTTTGAAGGGAATATCTAAGCAGGAGGAGTCAGGGTCGTGTTCAGCAATTCAATCAAAACACTTTTTTTCTGAACTGTTTTATTTTCCCTTCTCCATGTGAACATCACAGAACAGCATATGTTCCAGAAAATGTGGGATTCTGATCCTCAAATAGGGAAGCATTAAATATGGCCTGAATTTTTTTTAAAGTCCATGTTTAAAGCTTCATTATTTAGACAGGATCTAAGTTCATGCTTATGTTGAGGCATGCTTTTAAGAGATGCTGGATCAGGGCTTAGATTCCTTTCAAATCAAGATGTCTTTGTTAAACTGGCAGGCAATCTTGACATGTTTCATAATAGTAATAATAAAAATTTATAACAGTCTCTCTTCAGTGTTTATAACTTTCTCCTAAATGATTATTGTCTAGTAATTATTAAACAAACAAACAAAAAGCAGAACTAAAAGTAGCTTTGCCTTCACCCTGGAGTTTGTTTTGCTGTTCCAACACACATTTGGTTTAAGCAGGATAAACTAATACACATTTATTCTATTTTGGTTTTTTTTCAGTGTAAGCACATGACTCAAATCAGCCAAGTGCATTTTGGGGGGTGGGTGGCGGGCTGTGTTCACACTGTTCTTTTCAACATGGTTTCAGTGAACTGCACTTGCACTCACCACATCCCCAAGGATCATCTCCTTCCATTCTCCCAGCTTGAGGCAGAAAACCCCCAACTCCCTAGGGTGTCCCCCAGCCCCCTGAGCTGCCTGCTCAGCTCCAGCTGGGAGCTGTGGGATTCAGCAGAGCTGCAGGCACGCTCTGGCACGTCAGCCTGTGCTCTGGCACTGGAGGAGCTGGCTCTGCGGGAAGGAAGAAAATTCTGCAGCTCTCCCGAGGTGCCTGAAGTGCTGAAACAGATTCCAGGTTCAGTGTTTGATTCCAGGTTCAGTGTTTGATTTAGGCAGACTGACTGGCTGGCTCTGAAATGTCACTGGGTACCTACTGCTGCAGGTAGGTTTGTCAGGCCTTGCTACAGGAGTCACTTTCAAATTTCATTACAAACTGGCCTCATTTTGTTAAAGAAATACAGTAAATGTAGCATGTCCACTCTGCTTAACCAATAAACTTTTGTCTTTGCCATTTAAATTAATTTAGAGGGAGAGGAGATCTGATGGAGAGATATGGAGGTAGCTCTGTGCATCTGTCATCCCCAGCACAGACTTGCTCAAAAGGAACAAAGCAGAGAAGTGTCCTGGAAATGCCTGAGCAAGCCTGGGGATGTCTCTGGGTCCCCATCCCAGCCTGTGTGTCCCCCCACAGCACAGAGATGCCTGTGAATATTTGGACTGGATTTTTGTTTTTCCCTCTGGGTCCCCTCCTCCTTGTTTTGTTAGCAGCTCATTTCAATTCTCTGCTTCCCAGGTGAGGAAGCTGCAGATTAGGTTAGATAATTGGTATTTCCTTTCCCTTTTTTGGGGTACACTGGGACAAACAGCAGCTCTGCCTGTGAAGAGGCTGCTGTGTGAACCTTTGGAAGCTCAGTGCAGTAGGAAGCCAGGAGATGCTCAGGCTCTAAAATGTGAGGACAGCCAGTGTGTTCCCACTCCTGGCAGAGAAGCCAAGTATAGAAAATACCTTACTTTTCAAAGCAGTTTCAACATGAGGTTTTCAACCAGTATTTTTACCCATCTTAAACATCCTGATAGATTGACAAGGATGCCTGTCCCTGGACTTTTAATTTTATTATTTGAAAAGCACATTGAAATGCACAAACTGGTGGAAATGCAGTGACCCTGTGGCATTCCCAGCCTTTGATTCTGATGGACAAACACCAACTGCTGTCAGTATCCTTCATGCAGCTCACCCTGCTCTTGTCTTTGTGCAGCATGGGCACATGAAAGCTGCTATATTTTTGTATGAAGCCTAAAACGAACTCTCACAAGAGGAATGTTGACCCCAAACAATTTTGCACGTGTCCTTTGTCAGCTAAAAGGGCATTTTATTTGAAGACACAATGCAAACCACAGCTGACTTTTTAAAGGACTGTGTGACAGAAAAGATGCCATCTGGTACAGTGTATGTGTGACTCACACAGCTCAGATTTGGACCAGAATTAGTGTCTGAAGGGGAAACAGCACTGGACTGACATTCAGATCCAACAGGGAAAGCTTAGCTGTCCACCAGCAATCTTGAGAGGCACCTCAGTGCTCGCCCTCCTGCTCTGCAGCACAGTGAAATGTCAGTCCCCGCTGGCCTCCCGAGGTGGGAGCCCTGTGATTTCCCCAGGTCACCCTGCTCCCATGGTTAATATGTGGAAACAAGTGGTGGAAACTGTCCAGTTGTATTAAAGGTGGAGGGGATGACAGGGAAGGGAGGCAGTGCCTGTGCTCATGTGCCTTTTTGTTCCATTGCAGAAAGGCAACGAACTGGAAGAAGGAGTGACCAGTGAAGGTAAGCAGAGATGCCCCTGGCTATGAGCCATTCCCAGGTTAGTGCTCAGACGGAATTTGCTTTGATCCCTGCTGAGGTGCTGCCTTCTCCCAGCCTGATGTTCCCCAGCAAACGCTTCCATGCTCAGAAAGGCGGGAGGAGAGCATTTCACAGCAAAAGGTTCCTATTTATGGTGTGGGGAGCCCTCCTGGCTGTAAGTGCTTCCCTGCCATCTTCCTTGGCTGTGCTCCGTGTTTGTGCCAGCAGGAATGTGTCCCCAAGCTGCTCAGCCCTTTGGAATGATGTTTCCCTGGTTCTGTCGCAGCCGGTGGCACAGTGTGGGTTTGATTCCAGCTGCTGCCTGAGCTCGGGTGTCTCCAAGGACGGCTGTACCCTTTCCCGAGGAAGTCAGGCTGTACCACTATTCGTGCCTGCAAACACAGCCCGACAGGATGCCAGGCCCTGGAATTTCAGCCCCTGCCAACCTCTGTCCCTGGGGCCAAACCCACGGCCCCCATCCTTACCCGTCTTCCTTCTGTTTTTACATTGCAGAGTTTGACAAATTTTTAGAAGAGCGAGCCAAAGCGGCGGAGATGGTTCCCAACCTGCCATCCCCTCCCCTGGAAGCCCCCACCCCTCCGACAAATCCTTCCAGCAGGAAAAAGCAGGAGCGCTCGGAGGACGCCCTCTTTGCACTGTGAAGGTGGCGGAGCCGCCCTCCCTCCTCCCCCGCGCTCCGCCCGGCCGATGTCGCCGCACGGCCACTCTGTCCTCCCACAGCCCTTGGCTAACAACGACTCCCGTCCCCCCCATTCCATAGTTTGCTTCTCCTTCCCTCCCTCCCCAAATGATCCACCCCCACGAGCTGACTCTTTCTATTTAAATCCAACACTATTCCTGCCAGACCACGATTCTCCAGCACTCGCTTAATCCCCTCCTTCCTGTCCCAGCTGCACAAAACCAGCTCTTGATGCTGAAAACCCCTTCAGAATGCACGAGTACGTCACACTGGGCTGAAACAAAAGCCCAGGGGGAAGAGAGCAGCCTTGCCCTTCAATTTATGTAGGGATCATCCTCTTCTGTAGGCAGGTCCTGCCAAGTAGACGGCTCTGTCAATCAGCATGTAATTGACTGAGCTGGAATGTTCAGGAGGAGTGTGTCTTTATTTTTAGATAAAATGTTAATGTATTGGCTTTCGTGTTGGATTCGACAGCAAGGAACAACTGTTCCCCTTTCAACATGTGCTTCACAAGTTAAAATCCTTTACTCTCCCACTCACACATCTCCTGGTACCATATGGTGGTCGCTTTTCCCCACTTTCTGTGGCGTTTCATTTCTAAATCTCACAGGGTATTTTTTGCCTTGTGTTTTATCTGGGCTTGCTCTAATTTGAAGCAGTCTGTTGGCCATGTCCAGTAGCTCTGGCAGTTGATAAGGATGGAAAATGCTGGGCTAAGTGGATGCTGTAACGATGGCACAGGAAGCACCTCGCTCTTTGGGAGACCATTCTCACACAGGAATTTTCCTGGTGTGTTTGCCTTTTAAAATAGCTTGGTTATTTTCTCCTTACCTTAGATTCCTTCTTTGGTGACTCTAGAGCTCTGCATTTGGTGTAAACATCCGTGCAGATGGATGGGACTTGTTCATGGATTGGGTGTGAACTGAGCTTCCTGGATTCCCTGCCATGCCTGGTAGGACAGATATGCTGGTTCTTGGGGATAGGCATGAGGAAAAGAGCAAACCTCAGAGGTTTGTATGGAACGCTGAGGGAAGTGGTTACCATGGAGGGATTAGCTGTGCCAGCCTGTGCTGGAGGTGAAACTCCTCATCTCCTTCCAGCTTTAGGCCTGAGAAAGTGCTGAAATGATTGTGACCGTGCTATTTGTGATTTTTGGAATGTCTTTTGATCCTTCTGCCCTTCATTAACTCCCAGCTCCTACGGGGCTGCAGTCTCTGTGCAAACAAACGTCTTCCCTTGCTTGCCAGAGGCATGGCCAGGATTCCTGCTCCTCTGGGGCTGCCAAAGGGATTCCAGCATGTGTGCCTGCCTTGCTGGGCTGACAGGCAGGGCTGGAGCTGCAGCCACGGCCGCGTCCCCAGCGCGTTCCTTGGGAGGAAGCCAGTGGTGCAGGATGGCAGGATCAAAGAGAGAGCTGAGCAGTGCATGGCAGGAGAATCTCCCATCCTGACAGAGAGGCACTTTATCAGCTAAAAGCCCGTGCAGGCAGCAGGCTCCAGCCCCTCTTCCTCAGGGTGTTCCTTGGCTTAGGCAACCTCCTTCTGACCTGACATGTCTGAGCTTCCCAGGATGCTGATGTGTGTCAGGCTCTCTTGAAAGTTGTTCTAGGCCAAGTGATAGAAGCTTTTATCTGAGCATAGCATTTTATCAGCCCATACCACGCTCTCTGAGGACCACCCCCTTTGGGACGTTGTGACACACAAAGCCTGTTACCAAATGCCTGACGGCAGCGCTGATGGACTTTGACAGCGGACACATTAATCTTTGAAGGGAAGTGTTGTTTGGTGCAGGATTTCCAGGCCATCCCAGGTCAGGTTTCACTCTGTGCTCTCCCTGCTCATTGTCTTCTCTGTCCTGCCCTGCCTGTAGCCTCTTCCAGGATCCCTCCATATGTAGCTGGGCCCAGGCAGGGCTGTCCTGCCACCCCTCTGTGCTGAATGTGACACCTCAACACTGCACTGTGTAGCACAGCTTACAAATGGACAGGCAAAACCAGTTCAAGGATGGAGATAACTTGGAGATCAAGCTTTTCTCCCCACTCCAGTTGAATCCCTCCTACTGTGTGGGTCTGCAGAGGCTTTCTCCCATCCCATCTTCTCCATGGCCAGTGGAACACTCTGCCTTGGCTGCATTGCACACTTCTGCTCTCACCCACTGCCCTCACTGCTCAACACAAGGTGAGCCCAACGCTCAGGGATTGGCACTGCCAGCTTGCTGCAGCATGTCAGATGTGGCCACCAGCTCCCAGAGAGCTGAGGAAACTTCTGTGGCAAGGCTGATTTGATTTCAGATGGCATCTGGTGATGGCCTGAGCAGTCTTGCCAGCACAGAATGAATTGCTGGTATTCCTGTCAGTGCAGAAAGCTCCGTGGGTGTTTTCAGTGTGTATTTTCTCTTCTAAATCCTTGAAACACATTGACCCTGTAAATGGCCACATCAGGTGATTCTAAGCATGTTAATCCAGCTTCCCTGCCAAGCCAGAGGGGATAATCGCATTGCTCAGGCATGGGACACTGTCAGATGGTGCAGAGTGGCACGGATGTCACTGTCACCAAGCCCCCTTTAATGCTTTTTTCTGTCACACTAAACCTGTCCTGGGACCTCCAAGGTGTTGCTTTAGGGAGAATCTGGTCCCTTTCTGGAAGATTCTGCAGAGCTGTCGGTGATTGCTCTCTCCAGCTGAGAGGAAAAGAGGTGGAATGAGAATAGGCTGGTGCTGGGGGGAAATACAGAGCAAAGTGTATTGGCAGAGCTCAGGGGGCTCTTTTGGTGTGTGCAGCCCCAGGCAACCCGTGGTCCCTGCTGACACTGTGCATTATCCTCTGGAAAGCTTGCAGGGAGTGGCAGGTGCCACCAGCACAAGTGGTGGCTTTGCTGGAAGTAGGGCAGCTCCCAGGAGATGCCTTCCTAGGCAGGAAATGCACTTCTGGAAAGACCTGGGATGGATCTGGAGCCCAAATCCACCACACTGGGCTCTCAGGGCTGGAAGCACCAAAGGGAACGGAGTGTGGCAGAGCAGGTGGTTTAGCCCAAAACCTTCTTTAACAAATACAAGAGCTACGCTAGAGCTTCCCAAATGTCCTGTATCAGGATCTCTCATCTTCCCTGTCCTCTTGTGGTCTGCTGAAAACTGGAGCAGTGGGAACTGTTTGATGCAAAGGGAAGGGGCTTTTCACTTCAGGGGACCAACTTCTCCATTTATCCCTCCTCTGCTTTCACTCTTAAGTGCTTCCTCTGTGCAAGTGGGCAGAGGACTCATGTGGCTCCAATGCCTGGGAGAACAGGGATGGAGCTGCAGCCTGATCCACTTTCCATAAGAAATAACATCCCAGTGCTTTCTAGGCATATTAGGAATCACAGCTTGGCACTCAATGACACTAAATTATTCTCGGGGTCCTTTGTAAGGTCTAATCGTGCCCTGTTCTAGGTTAAAATATTTATTTTGTCTATATATTTTCTTTCCAGTGTGTTTTTTAACCTCTTCTGTTAACTCTTCATGTGCTGAGATGTAAGGAATCAATGGTTTCTATTTAAATATATCCTTTGGGTTTTGGGTTTTTTTAAAATTGTTCTGTGTAGATTTCAGCTGCATCTTCAGCAGGTGTAATAGGTAACAATGTGCTGTACAGACATTTAGGGTGTTTAGGGTGTAAGTAAGGCTCATAGGAGAACTGCTCATAAAAACGTAGCACGGTGTCTCTAAAGGGAACAGCATAAATGCTGAGACTGGTCCTTACTGGGACCCTCACGTAGCCTCCAACAAACCTTTTCCCTTCTGATTGTCACACCTCCATCCCTAGGATGTGCTGCTCAAACCAGCTCTGTCATTCCCAGGGCTGGTCTTGCACCTCCAAGCTGAAGGATTTTTTTTTAGTGAGGATTTCTGTTTGTTTGGCTTCATTCAGCATTTTTTGATGGGATACATTGGCTGTTTCCACTTTAAAATGGAGGCCTGGGAGCTGGCTGTGGTGGCGAGATGTTTCCCTCCAGTGGTGGAAGAGCAGATCCAGGCCATGGTTTCAGGCCCAGGGCAGGGGTGATGCTCCCTCCTGGCCAGCACAGCCTGTCCCTGCTCTCCTGGTGTCACCTACAGGGACAGCATGTGCAGCCCAGCAGAGCAAACAAGATGGATTTCCAACGCTCTGTTCCATCCAGTGAGCTGTTGAGTCTCCTGTGGCGGCTGGGAGCCCTGGAGTGGGAGCTGCTTGTGCTGTCTCCATTGCTGTCCATCCCCGTCCAGCCCCGTCATTGTTTACCTCCTCAGGGCTGACCACAAGCCTTGCAGAGCCTCCCCCGGAAAAAAACAGCTCAGAACAGTTATTTTTATGGAAATAGTGAAGCAGTGAGTGGATTTAGAGCTGTGTTGGAGGTAACCCTTCCTCTGCTGTGAGCTCCCACCAGCACAGGAGACGAGGTGCCCACAGATCCCCTCCCAGCCACCCATCCCAAGCCACAGCCTCCAGAGCAGGCTGTGCCTGCCCCAGCTTCCACACAGCTCCTCCTCTTCCTCCTGCTCACCTGGAGAGAGGTGAGGCTGTGTGTCACCAGGAGCCAGCTGGCCTTGAGCAGCACCAGGCTCTGCTGCTGGTTCTCTTCAGCCCATGGCAAACGCACTACTCCAGAATTCCCACCCTGCTCCGTGTTTTTATGAGTACGAGCTCCTCGTTCCCTACATGTTCCTATGAGCTGTTGTTAACCCTACAAACGTAACCTGTGTAATAGCTTCTCTGTATATTACAGCTGTAGGCTTTCCAGATAAAAGTGGATAATATTTATTTACTGAAGATACTGGATATTTTTTTGTTTGGGAATGGGGTAGGGGGAGAGAGGGGACATAACTGTTTAAAGAGATTGACTATGTAAAGAGAAACAAAATACACAAGAAGCAGAGAAACCCAACACTAAAACATCACTGTATTCAAGTAGAAGGTGTTTCTGTTAAGGATGAGACAACTGTATTAATCTGCCATTGTTTAACTTGCTCCAGAAATCATCTCCTTGGTTCCTGCATGTGAGATATTCCAATAAATACACTGTTAGTGTGAGCTGGGGCTGCTATTGTCTGTCTGTCTGTCTGTCTGTCTGTCTGTCTGTCAGCTGGGGACTCATTTGGCTCCACTGCCTGGCCTGAGCACAGGGGACATGTGCAGCCCTTGGGTACCCACCAGATGTCAAAACTGGGAGTCCTTGTTCTCCTCCAGGAGACAGAACCTGGGTATTCCCATGGGAGAAGGTTTGTCCCCAGCAGTTGCTCTTTGTGTCACTCTATGGCTCGTGCTGCCCTCGGTGCTGTGTTGCCAGTGCTGCTAAGTTTGTGTCCCACTAAATTGTGGCACATCTTTGGAGGGTGGCATCAGGCAGACACATGGGTGGGTGACAACCTGGGTGCTCGGTGGGATGCCTGCCCACCTGGCAGGGCTTAACTGATAGTCCTTGGAGGGCAACTGTGGGTCACCCCCCTGGTGACCTGGAAAGAGATGGGTGATGCTTCCAGCCCATCCAAGGGCCACTTTCCTGACTCATCAGCCTGGAATTTGTTCCAACATCCCCATTATGATGGTGGCTTTGATAGGCAGAGAGGGAACACCAGCTTAGGAACCCCAGAGAAGTGGCATTGGCCAAAACCAAACCAGGCTGGCAGAATGGTGCCCTCTGTTCTACACGTGGAGATCCACTCTGATTAAATCTGGGAAACGGGGGTGTGGAATAGCTGGAATAGCTACAGAGTTTCCCCTCCCTGTAGCTACAGATTAGCATTAAACAGCCCTGCCCCAGCTTGTTTACCCCTCACTGATCATGTGCCTGGGTACATTCAGGGAGGCTCCTGGCCTGGATCTGCTGGGAAAGGTGTGGAGCTGCTGCTGCTGCCCTGACAGGGCAGAATCACACAAAAAGCACCGGGTCAGAAATGTCCAGCGCTGGGCAGGAGGGGCTGTGGGAGTGGGAGATTTGGGAGTGGGGATTTAGGAGTTGGGGATTTGGGAGTGGGGGCTGTGGGAGTGGGGGATTTGGGAGTGGGGATTTAGGAGTTGGGGATTTGGGAGCAGGGGCTGAGGGAGTGGGGGATTTGGGAGTGGGGGATGTGGGAGCAGGAGGCTGTTCCTTCCAGGGGCTCCACCACATTGTCCTCTGCATCCCCACAGTTACACTCATGAAGGAAAACCCTCAAAAACCCCAAATTCTGCCTTCAACAGGGGCCAGAGCGGGTGCAAAGGGAAGAGTGTAGGAACAGCACAAGCACACAGGGACCTGCCTTTCCCCTGTGTGCCCCTCCAGCCTCTGGTGATCCAACTCCCCAAATTGAGGAGGAAAGGTTTGTGCACCCTGATGGGATTCTCTTCTCCCAACCTGCTCCCACAGCAACTGTGCAAACTCCCACCATGGTCTGGGGGCTTCCACACATCACACATTGCCCTCCACCGTGGGCTGCCAGCTGGGCACAGAGCATGGCACTGATCCCCATCACTGCCCTCCACCGTGGGCTGCGAGCTGGGCACAGAGCATGGCACCAAGCCCCACGTGGGCAGAGCCTGGGGCAAGCTGAGTGTCACTGCTGTCTGGCATTGGGCAGCAGGTTTGGATGCCAGTGCAAATAGGAAATGGCCACAGGTCATTTACCTTTCCCCATTTAACCCGAGGGTAAATAAACCTGCAGTGGGGGCTGCACTGGAGTGTCACCAAAGCTGGCAGCTCAGGAAAGGACAGTTGGCAAAGCCGAGTTACACGCAGTGAAGGAGAGAAGAGGCTTCTGAATCGGTTTGCGACACAAATTAATGATTAACGCCGCGTTCTGCCGGAGCAAAACAAGCCCCGGGGCAGGCAGGGTGCCAGAGGCTGGGCACGGAGCATGGCACGCTGTTTGAGGTGTGCTGGCAGGTGGC